TGTCAAGCCTCTCCTGAACAACAAACAACGTCAGAAGCTAAAGAAAAACAGACCTGGTCTGTTGCTCAGTGGTTCAAAGTCCTCTTTTCTGATGAGAGCAACTTTTGCATCTCATTTGGAAACCAAGGACCCAGAGTCTGGAGGAAGAATGGAGAGGCACACACTGCAAGATGCTTGAAGTCCAATGTGAAGTTTCCACAGTCTGTGTTGATTTGGGGAGCCTTGTCATCTGCTGGTGTTGGTCCACTGTGCTTCATTAAGTCCAAGGTCAACACAGCCATCTACCAGGAGATTTTGGAGCACTTCAAGCTTTCTTCCGCAGACCAGCTTTATGGGGATGCTGACTTAATTTTCCAGCAGGACTTGGCACCTGTCCACACTGTCAAAAGCACCAAAGCTGTGGGATTACTGTGCTTGATTGGCCAGCAAACTCACCTGACCTGAACCCCATAGAGAATCCATAGGGCATTGCCAAGAGAAAGATGAGAGACATGAGACAGAACAATGCAGAAGAGCAGAAGGCCCCTATTGAAGCATCCTGGTCTTCTATAACACCTCAGCAGTGCCACAGGCTGATAGCTTCCATGCCACGCCACATTGAGGCCGTAATTGCTGCAAAGGGGGCCCAAACCAAATACTGAGTCCATATGCATGCTTATACTTTTCAGAGGTCTGATATTGTTCTATGTACACTCCTTGTTTTATTGCTTGCATGTAATATTCTAATTTACTGAGATTGTGGATTTGGGGTAATCATGGCACTTATGACAAATCACGGCTTGAACTATCTTGCTTTGCATGTAATGCGTCTATCTCATATTTTAGTTTCCCCTTTTACATTGCATTACTGAAATAAATTAACTTTTGCACGATATTCAAATTTTTCGAATATCATCTATATATATATATAGTCTTTTGTTCCTTGTTAGGTTATTGAACCCCCTCTTAAAGAAAAAAACCAAAACAAAAAAATATTTAACCCCTTAAGGACTGGACTGTTTTTGCGATGTTGTACATTTGCGACCAGGCATATTTTTACACTTTTGTGGTGTTTGTGTTTGGCTGTAATTTTCCGCTTTCTCATTTACTGTTCCCATACAAATTATATATTGTTTTTTCAGGACAAAAGGGGCTTTCTTTACATACCATTATTTATATAATCTCATGTATTTTAATTTAAAAAAAATACAAAAATCTGATGAAAAATTTAAAAAATACATGTTTTTTGACTTTTACTTGAAAAATCTTTTACTCATCTACAAAAGCGAATGAAAAAAACTGCTAAATAGATTAAAAATTTTGTCCTGAGTTTAAAAATACCTAGTGTTTACGTGCTTTTTTGCTTTTTTGCATGTTATAGGGCTATAGGTACAAGTAGGATATTGCGGTTTCAAAACATACATTTTTAAAATTTATCAATAGTGACATTGTAACACTATTATCTGTCATAAATCTCTGAATAACACCCCACATGTACATATTTTTTTTAAAGTAGACAACCCAGGGTATTCAATATGGGGTATGTCCAGTCTTTTTTAGTAGCCACTTAGTCGAAAACACTGGCCAAAGTAAGTATTCATATTTGTTTGTGTGTGAAAAAAGTAAAAAAACTAAATTGAACGCTAATTTTGGCCAGTGTTTGTGACCAAGTGGTTACTAAAAAAGACTGGACATACCCCATTTTCAATACCTTGGGTTGTCTTCTTTTGCAAATGGTATGCCATCATGGGGGTAATTCTCATTCCTGGGCTACCATACGCTCTCAAAGGCAACGTAACCAACCTGGCTATTTTCAATGTAAAAATATTTGACCCATATATTTGACCTTGTAACTTTCAAAAATGCTATAAAACCTGTACATGGGGGGTACTGTTTTACTCGGGAGACATCGCTGAACACAAATTATAGCATCAGTAAAAGTGCTGTTTGTGTGTGAAAAATGCAAAAAAAGTAACTTTCACTAACAATATCATCGCTGTGATATGTTTTACTGTTTTGAATTACTAATATTTGTGTTCAGCGAAGTCTCCCGAGTAAAACAGTACCCCCCATGTACAGGTTTTAGGGTGTCGTAGAATGTTACAGGGTAAAATACAGTGCTAGCAAATTAAATTCTCTGGAATTTCGGCCTGGGTTGGCAGGCAGGTCCCTCAAATTGCAATCAATAAAATTACTGAATTATGTAAAAATATTACATAAATACGCACGTAGAATTTAAATATATATGCATATTTATATATTTGAAGTCTACGTGTATATTTATATAATTATTTATGTAATTTTGTATATGGACATATGGTATATTTCGTATTATTTTTATTTATTTTTATATACATAGATATATATACAAATTCATTCTAAGTGTATTTTGATATAAATATATATATTAATTTTAAAATACAGTTAGAATAAAATTTCATATAGCTATATAATTTTTTAATTTTTTTTTATTATTATTTAAAAAAAAATGTATTTAATTTAAATTACTTATTATTTATATTTTATAATAATATATATATACAATATATATAGTTATTATATATATTATATATATACGTATGTAATTTAATTATAAGTGTATTTTTATATATTAATATAAGTACATATTAATATAAAAATACACTTAGTATGGCATTATATATATGATATATAGACATATATTATATAGATATAATATAT